CCACCCCCATGTTTCCAGATGTACGTGGACAGAACTACGTCACAGCTGACTCCCACAGCTGTCAGGACACGGCCGGATGTGACAACACCAGCGCGCGCGCCACACGCCGCCATAGACATTTCTATGTATACAACTGACGCGCGCTCCCATTGGCTCGAGGAACGGGACGAAGCGTGAAGTTGGTAGTCTGCAGGCTACGCTTGGCAGGCAAGAGTTGATATAGCATGGTCGTAGTGAGGTATGTGAGGACAAAACATATGAGTTATTACTGCTCAGCCTTAATTGACACGACTTACAAATTTAACAGCCATCTCCGATAGACCCCAGCAGAGCGAATTAAAAGTCTTGACAATATTCCACAAACGACGTCCCATCGGTGATTCGAACTGGGTCACCCCAAACCCCTGAACAGGAAGTTACAGGCGCGGTATCGTGTGGGTTTAATCAATGACAACCTCTTATCCACGGGACAGTTGAAACTACAGTGCTGTGGTGTATTGCCATACTGGATATAAAATAAGCCTTTTTTTTTTTACTATTGATAGACACAGGTTTTTGATTAACCCAAGGGCGGTAAGCCCTTTCCCTGCTCTGTCGTAGCAAGTTTTCTTTGAAATATGTTTGCATTTGATTAATTTTAAAATCCAAATAGCTCCACTTTTTTTTTTTTTAGCTGTTGTTGTTTCTGCTAAACTCAAAAGCGCAATTTAATTGAAATGGGCAGGGTAAAAAAAGGAAGGGGAAACATTTCAGAGAAAAAATAGGAAATGTGATGTACTGTTAGGACACAGCTCCAGTACAGGCAAATAAATACAGTTGACTCTGCTTGTGTTGATCTCACTTGAGTCGATCTTTTTCTTGGGTCCCAGCACCTCTTCTATGTTACAGATTTCAACTGTTAAGTTGAACTTCGGATGAGTTGATCTTTTTACACCTCCCCCGACGACATCAACTCATCCGTAGCCGACCGTATATGTGAAATATGAGGAAAGAGGGAAACTACTGCTGACTTCCAAAGGTTAATGTAGAATTATTTTGTGCCGCCTCCACCACCACCCCCCCCCCGCCTCTCCCTCCCCCCCCCCCCCCCCCCCCCCCCCCCTCTCCCCCCTATTGCAAAAACAATTTCTTTTTTTAATGGAACACTTTAGTAATTCAGAAGGCAGGCTTTCACCCCAGGCTGAGAGGTCTACAACATCCCCGCGGACAGTCTGAGTTACTCGATAAAAATGTTCCCGTCTTGGGGATCGAACTCGGGTCTTCTGCAAGTGGCTGGGAAGCGCCTAAAATCAGGATAAAAATTGTCAAACCGGCTGTGTTATCCATTTCATTGTTTAGACGAGCGCTTCATTTCACCACGACGCCTCAATATCTATGACATATTCTGATAAAAAACCGATGGTATTCTGACAACACATGCATTAACCCCTTAACAGCCAGGCCCAAGAATTGAGTGACGGAGCAGGTCTGGGGGTAAAAGTGCATTCCTGTGTTTCATGAATCCCAGTCTATAGGACTAAGAGTGTTTTTACGGCACTTGAAGCACAAATAAGTGATGTAAGTGCCGAAGATTTGAAGTGTTATTAGAGAGTGACATAAGGACCCCCCCCCCCAAAAAAAATCCCCACAAAAAACACCAAAACAAAACAAAAACAAAAACAAAAACCAAACCAAACAGAGTAGAGATAGGACGATATGCATTTAAAAGGAAATAAGGAGCATACCATCCGAGAATATCCTCTAACCACCCACGAATGAAAATCAAATGCAGGCAACTTTTTAGCTTTAGTTAAGACACGTTTACTTGTGTTGGTTTCCCCTCTCAACCAAGAGCGGATGACCGCCCACGCTCTCGACATCCCAACGATAGCGACGGTGAACAGATCTCGCAGAGACGACCTCTGGCTTTGCAAAACGCTGCCCTGCCCTGCACTCTCCCAAACTATCTTTTTCCCGCATCCACAAGAACTTTGATGGATTTAGTCACAAAAAACTTACTACTTGTCTTCGGTGATTAAACGAAATTATGTAATATGCATGGATTAAGTCATTAGGTGAAAAACTGACCAGATGCTTACATATCTTTGAGTAGATTGTCCTCTATCAACAAGTGCATATGGTTGTGTAGTTAAAATAACATTGGAATTAAGCTGCTGTTATTAGACATGGCGTATGCAAATGAAGAAACCCCATAAAATGAATAAATTATTTCATTTTTAATTTTATATCAAATTTCATAGAACTTAAATTTCTGCAGCTTAAATGTTATACAGTGAAACTTGGATTCAACGAACTCAGATTCAATTAACTTGGATTCAATGAAAACTCAGAGTCAGCGATTTGAATTAGATTCCTCGTTATTTATTCATAAAAATAAATTTTTAAAAATAACTCGGATTCAAGGAACACATAAATAAGCAAGCTCGGATTCAACAAAAACAGGTGTAGGGTGATCCGCCCGCATTGACGAGGCTTCGCTCAATTTTCTCCCGAAACGAATCTTATCTATTCCTGGAAACCATTCATGGGACCTGCACCGTAAACCATAATTTGCTTATCCTATTGTTTATTTAGTATGTGACTAATCAGCGGCCTTCTTTCATACCAACACACGCGTTGTTAGCACGCATACCGGTCAGTTATTTTTCCCCACCGTCTACTGACCAATATTACAATGATAGGCTAGTCTTGACACAGACCTACGTAATGGATCGTGCCCTGAACTGTGGAATCAAACGTTGCCGTATGCTAAGCTCTACATAGCAACTTAACTTGTTCGGCAAACCAAACGTTATAACAGAGGATAGATAGCACAGGCGTGAATTTGAACAAATCGGCCTTTTTTGCACACTGTGCATTTGGTACAGTTCATTGTTCAGTGTATTTTCCTGGAATTTTTCCGCATTTCTCGGGTAGGGCATCAAAGGAACGAAATTTCCTCTAATTTGAAACCAAATCACTTTTGACAGAGAAAGTCGAATACGTTATACATTTCTTGCTCGGTGTCTATGATTATCAACTCAAAACATCTTGTTTGCTATAACTAACACTCGGATTCAACAAAATTGAAGGTCAGGCCCGCCGAGTTCATTGAATCCGAATTCCCATAGTGGGCACAACAGTGATGGTACCACAACTCACGAGGTACTGCTCTGAACTGTGTAATTTGAGGAGGATAGTATGGGTTGGGAATGGAGGGGGTTGCATGGGTTGGGGAGGGAGTGAGATAGAAAGATTGGAAAGGGAGGGGGACAGAGGAGGTTGGGGAAGTAGCAGGAATGAGGGGATGAGGGAGGATAGAGGGGTCGAGGAGGTAGCTGTATAGAGAGTGTCTAGACTGGGAAAGGGGATAAGGGTTTTGGGTAGGGGTGAAAAGGAGTCCCGGGGTGTGGTTAAAATTGTAGGGGAAAGAAGAGTGGTGAAATGAGGAGCAGCGATGGAAGGGTGATGATGAGAGGTTGGGAGAGGGAATGAGGGTTGGGGGGTAGTTGGGGGTGAGGGTTTAAGGTTAACGGA